TTCTGTATGTTTTACCAGATCGTCACCCCATTTAGTGGGGTAGTACTCACTTATCGATATGGGGCTGCTACTCGAGAACCTTCCCTTTATACATTTCTATATACATACGTGTCATAGCTGGCCACAGGCGTTGTCTCATTTCTGAGAGGGTTTTAAGGCAACTTTACATATTATCTTCGATATTTTTTCTTACGTGAGTACTGACAACGTTTTGAATGAATTAATTGTAGTAAATCCCATTCCTTATGTTGCTCATTGTGCTAAATGTTTAATTATACCCTCCCCATAAGTAAACAACATAAAATCTAAAGACATTCAAAACTTAGGCGTGTAAGTTTGCAAGCTCTTGAGCCTTAGGCTGAGTATTACAAAACTTACAATCATCCCTTTACCGTTTTGTATTTGCCACCTATATATTAACGTAGAAAATTGTATAAGTTACTTCGTGCGAGTTTAACACGAAATTGCAATAAGTGAATTATAATTCTGCCATCTTTTTATGAACTGCACTTGACTAGTAGCGCGTGCAGCGCATGGCGCAAAAGATGAAATTAAATATCCATTCCGATGAATCTTCAAGTGGCAATAACAATATGTAATTCAATGATCTAGAAAAATACCTTTTTCCTTACGATAAAGGGTTTCATCGATATGGGTTTTCCATTGGATAAATAGCCCGAGTATCCGTCTTTGTGTGATATATCAACAATGTTGAAACTTATGTGTGCGTATCCTTTGAAAAGGACACAAGACAAATGGATTCAATCGTTGTAGATTGGTTGCCGTGAGGCAGGATATAGACCGGAACACTGACAGACCCTAAAGGCGTATATGTACTGTGAACGAAAACTTTACCAAACTACTAGAGATAAAGAGTCAGTTTAATTATATTGCAATTGTTTTTTTGTACGTATATATACTTTACTTTTACTTGTTTTTCAACGTCGTGTATGTATTGTGCTCTCACTTTTTTCGGAGTGATTGAGCCACGCCGTAGCTATAAAATGCGTGCGTGAGTGTCGTGGAACACTCGGTTGGAACGAAGTTCCTTTCGTAGGTTTCTGAAATGAATTACTAGAATTACTAAAAAATGAGGCGTCATTTAAAATAAAATAATATTTCTTTCATGGCATTATAAGAAAACGTACGAGGGAGATGGGTATTATTCCATCTCGCTTCCTTATAGCCGCCAAGGCCGTCTACACTACGTCAGAAGGGGTCGTGACTTTGTAACCGTTCTTACACTTTTTCTCGCCTAACCGCCATCCGCCACATTGGTACCGTTCGATAAGTAACTTCGTTCCAATAATATAGTTACAGCACGGATGGGTCGGTATCACCGGGGAAGGACACGCTTTCATAGAATTACAGCGTAAAATAGCAGCTTTATGCTGCTGTGTTTCGTATGGTGGGTGTAGAGACCTGGAGACTTTTTATCGAGGTATCCAATCTTTGTCTTCAGGGGTATCAACGCCCAGGTGTATTGGTGGTCGCGTGAGCTGACGTCTCTGCGCGAGGCGTGTGTCGCCGCGCGGCACCTGTACGCCAGGCATCGCAGGCTCCGCATTCGTCCACCGAATGCGGCAGCCATTGAGGCGGAGCTGTACGAGGGATACAGAGCGGCGAAGACCGCCCTCCGGGAGGCTGTCATGCGGGCCCGGGATCGGGCCCGTGAGGAGATGCTGGAGACTCTCGACAGAGATCCGTGGGGGCGCCCTTACAAGATGGTGCGGGATAAACTCGTGGCGGAAAACGGGTGGCGGAGCGGGAGAAGGAGAGAGCAGCAGCTTTCCTTCCCGGCCGCCGCGGGAGACGCCCCGGGCGTCGGGGGCTACGTCATGGCCCCCGGCCACCGTAGGCGCGGGCCTGTGGACGGCGAGCAATGGGTAGCTCGCCGTCCGTCCGTCTAACGACGACAGGCCGTGTCGACGGCGCGTTTTGTTCCACGCGCGCCTCAAAGAGCTGTCAGCAACGTGAAGGGGCCTGCAAGGGCCGACGCCTGCCGGGGCTGCAGGCTGTTCGAAAGAGATACCGCGGCTCCGGAACGTAAGGGCACTGAAGGAACACGGATGGTTTTTAGTCAGTAAAAGTCTGACACTCCCTTCCGCTCCACCCAGAGCGAAAGGCGTCATTTGATGATTTTCCATCCGCAAAAAAAAAGGGGTATCAACGCATCTGTATGTTGATTAATAATTCATTATTTACCTCATGCGGACTGTGAGCATGCTTATCATATTTACTTCTAAAAAAATATGGCGCGGAGCTGATAAAATTTCACTGGTGATGCCGCGTAGATGTAACCGACAATGGGCCACAGAACTCACTTATTATTAAATGGGTTGTGTACGTATGTATGTCACTCTTATTTATTTAAAAAAAAGAGTGTCGTGGAACACTCGGTTGGAATGAAGTTTCTTTCGTAGCATATTATTATTGATAAACGTATTATATTATTCATTAACAAATATAAATAAATTAATTATTAGCGTCTATTAAAACGAAGCGTCATTTAAAATAAAATAATATTTCTTCCATGGCATGGTAACAAAAAGTGCGAGGGAGATGGATATTATTCCATCTCGCCGAGGCCGCCTACACTACGTCAGAAGGGGTCGTGACGGAAAAATCTTACACTTTTTATCGCCTAGCCCCCATCCGCCAAATTCGTTCCGTCCGATAAGGAACTTCGTTTGAATAATATATTATGTAAGATTTTATTTTTAAATTATTTGTTGTGTGCGTAATTTTTGGGTTTCCGGTCGACTGTGTTCCGGTTGTACGACTGCTGATTATGTGGTCCCAGGTTCGAATTCTAGATCGGGGTACAATTTGTTGGAATTTTCTGTCAAGAAATTCTCACTAGCAACTCAGAGTCAGGAAGGCTTTGTGTTGTGAATGTTTTATCCCCGTGCCTCGGATAGCACGTAAAGCCGCGTCTCCACCAAAAATGTTGACAACATTTATGTTTCCAACTGTTTACAACTCAACAAAAGTAACCAACATTTGTTTCCGATGTTGCCGACAAATGTTTCCAAGAAGTGTCTCCACCGAAGGAACAAATGTTTGCAACAAGCGTATTCCTTTGATGTTGCCGCTGAAAATGGAAACACGGTTCCCGACATTGTTTTATGTTTTGTTGCCAATACTAGGTAATTACAGAAACATTTGTTACCAACACGTGTTGGCAACACACCAGTTGGAAACAAAACTTTGATGGAGACGCGGCTTTAAGCCCTTGTCCTCTCTCCGGTCGTGTCAAATTGCCGTCCTATTGGACTATGGGAGTTGAAGAATAGTGAGTGGCTCTGTGTTTGCGCACACCCTCGTGTAGTGTAATCCTGTCCTGCGTAGAGAGAACGAAGAACGTTGAGTCTGGGCGCCGTGACCGAAATTCGATCTGGAGAACTTTATTACTTAACGCTTGTGTCCTACATAAGCACGGTTATCGTCTGTTGAATAACATCATCAAACATTGTTAATTAAACCTTGGTCTGTTATATTTTAGTATAATTATTATCCTGATTAAATATTTGACACATTCCACCCGAAATTCCTTCCGATCGTTCTGCGCAATCTATTCGAAGTTAAACAGTCAGTTTGATGATGATTGATTGACGTTGGAAAGTGATTTCGTTTACTTTTTGAGTAGTAAAGGTAAAGGAGCTTGAAATTAGAATTTTTTGGAAAATTCATGTCATGTTGTGGAAAGCAATTACAAATTTATGACATTTTTATCATATCCTATTGGTTTGCGCGCCCAATATGCGAATACGACAGGACCAGCAGGACTACTACCGACAGATTGGAATTTTGCAATCGAATTGATTCGAACTCAATCTAATTCGTGCTCATGAAACCGTAGCTAGCGCACAATCGAATGGTGGCTCAAATTGGAATAACTTCAATCAAGTATTTCGTTAGGATCCAAATATTCATATTCCTCACCGATCGAATAGTTGTCAATCTAATAGACTAATTGAATTTAACCAAATTTACAAACAGTTAACAGTCTTAGATCCCTAAAACTTTGTTAAAATTATTATTAATAAATGATGTCCTCATAGTTTCTTGCTGGTTCTTCTTATTTTGGCTTTCAGATTATTTAGGTTTATCTTATCATATAAGCAGTAAATATAGTATGAATCGGTTAGGATTAAGAACGACTTGAGAAGTTGTTGTTGCGACCTAAAATTTTGCATCACATACATGCATTTTATACGTGGTAGAGCCACGCTGCAGGTATATGGTTGCAGCACGAATGGGTCGGCTCGACCGGGGAAGGACCACGCTCTCACAGAATATCAACGTAAAATAGCAGCTTAACGCTGCTGTGTTTCGTATGGTGCGTGTAGAGAACCGGAGATCCTTTTTACTGGTAACGAAGCATTCCATATTAGTCCTCACGGGTGACAACGCATCTGCATTTTAATTCGTAATCGAAGATAGATGTAGAGGTCTATGGGCCACAGCAACCACTTACGATCAGGTGGACTTTGTGCTCGTTTGTCACCCTTATCTTATAAAAAAAATCATAATTTTTTATCATTTTCGTTAACAAACTTATTCGTCAATTTTTAAATTGAATATTTTATATCGTAATTTATTGTGAACGAAGTTTTAGGCACTCGATTGTTAAATAACTACAACATACACAAAACGTAGAATAACCGCCTTACTTACAGTATCGAAAATATTCCACGAAATATACAATAGAAATAATTACATTTATGGTTATTTTTCTCGCAACAATGCCGAGAATAATATGATAGAATTGAAATTAGTTTTCAAAAAAGTATTTAACTTTTATAATAATAACATAAATATAAATAGGCACTGGGCTTTTGTAGAAACTAAAATCAGAGCGTCCGCTCTGTACGAGTGTGCAAAGGAATGGAGCGTTCACCGTGCATGACAAAGATTATCTCTTTAATGAAAATGGCGACTAATCAAGTTGTTTGCTGCATACGCCACATGTTATTTCGTAACATGCTAAAATTTACCTGGCACTGTTGTGGGCCCTGACGATTGGGGGATGCGGGCTTTGGGCGAACCTTCTTAACAGAGAGGGGCCGCGAATCCAGCCCAGTCACCGCAACTGACACAGTCGCGATGCCGCCCAAGATACTCGATGAGGATGACGTCGTGCAATCTGAAACAAGTATGAACAATATTCTTTGTTTAATAACCTTTGTTGTCCAATAACTACACCTGGCGTCTTGAATGGGGTTTTTTTTATGAAACTGAAGTGACAAGCGGACTTGCAGTCCACTTGATGGTAAATGGCCATTATAAAAGTAAAAGTAGGCAAGAACTTTTGATTTGCCAACCAACTTCAAACAAAGAAAGCTAAAGATGCGTTATCACTCTGAGTCTAAGACGTTCTAAGATGAAGTGCCTCACAGGCTGCTTTCTATAACCCTCAGTTTAAAACACAGAAGTGCACGCATTGCTGATTGATAGCAGAACAATTTAATTTTTTTCCTGAAGCGGGAGTGAGATTTTTAGCAATTATAGATATTAGGAGCATATTGTCATCATGCGTACAACGTGCATATCTATACAAATAAATAAAATTGAAGTATCTTTTTGTAATGACAAAATAACAGCTTTTTAATAAATGCATATGAAATAATGTACGGTAATAAAAAGAAAAAAAAACAATTTTTAACATTTTTGTCCGTCTGTCTGTCTGTCTGTTTGTTCCGTCTAATCTCCAAAATGGCTGGACCGATTTTGACGGGACTTTCATTGGCAGAAAGCTGATGTTATGAGGAGTAACTTAGGCTGCTTTTATTTTAGAAAAAGAACATGAAATCTAATCGCAATAAATTCCACGCGGGCGAACAGCTAGTCTTACATGAGAATCTGAAATAATTTTTATTTTGGAACCATTAAATAAGTTTGCTCGATTCTATTCGATCTTGCTTGCTCTTAGTCGATAAAAATAATTTTGTACAATGGTAAGGACAGATGCTGTCATTAAATTGCGAGTATCACTTAACGAGAAGTCGGAACACTATATTTGTATCCGAATATAGTGCGGCCCATCGAGGCGATGAACAAAACATGGTGTAATATGAACATGTGGTACGTGTTTGTCTAAGACGTGTCCGCGGCTTGATAGCTTGCGCCTTCCACCACCTAATCTATACAAATAAATAAAGTTGAAGCGTCTGTTTATAACGTGAAAATTACAGTTTTTTACCAAATGCATATGAAAGTAAATAGTAAAAGTACTTATAACTAAAATACAATTTTAAAATTTTTTGTCTGTCTGTCTGTCTGCCTGTCTGTCTGTCTGTCTGTTTTTCCGGCTAATCTCCGAAACGGCTGGACCGATTTTGACGACACTTTCACTGGCAGATAGCTGATTTCATAAGGAGTAACTTAGGCTACTATTTATTTTAGAAAAAGTATTAGGGTTCCGCGCGTGCGAAGTCGCGGGGTACAGCTAGTCGTTTATATAACCGTAAACAGCTTATTGGTGTGAGTATTAAAATGAGGTTTCGTTAGAAAATAAATACGACACTTTAATAAGAAATATAATACATGGGTATGATAACCGTGTAATGGTGATGTAAGAATATCCATTTGGTACCCCATATATAAGATAGTATCGTAAGAGGTAACACAGGGAAACAAACTAGGATATGGGCAGCAACATCTTCCTAATATTACCGTGTTTGTATGCGGCACACCTTCCATGTAGACAAACTAAACTCGCAAACTAGAGCTTTTAATTATAGTATTGGTCGAGACGAGTGATTTAAATGTAAAGCTGGTAAGATAGCAAACTATATGTATCTATGAATTATCTTTAAAAAAAGGCGCAGCGCTATATACATTTCAAGAGTCGCAAAAGTCAAAACATGCTCAAGTCATTGTTTGAACGCGTACTCACGTACACATAGGCATTTAAAATAATTTGCAACCAATATATGATTTCATGTGCACATGTATGCGTCCAACAGTGGACTGGTACAGGCTGATATATGTATGCGTGAATGTAATTTAAATACCATTTAAAATCATTTGAAACAAACAAATGATTTTATGTGCACATGTATGGGTCCAACAGTGGACTGGTATAGGCTGATATATGTGTACGTAAACGTACTCACGTACATATAGCCATTTAAAATCATTTGAAACCAACAAATGATTTTATGTGCACATCTGTGCGGCCAACAGTGGACTGGTACAGGCTGATATATGTGTGCGTGAACGTACTCACGTACACAAAGCCATTTAAAATCATTTGAAACCAACAAATGATTTTATGTGCACATGTATGCGTCCAACAGTGGACTGGTACAGGCTGATATATGTGTGCGTGAACGTACTCACGTACACATAGCCATTTAAAATCATTTGAAACCAACAAATGATTTCATGTGCACATGTATGAGTCCAACAGTGGACTGGTACAGGCTGATATATGTGTGCGTGAACGTACTCACGTACACATAGCCATTTAAAATAATTTGAAACCAACAAATGATTTTATGTGCACATGTATGCGTCCAACAGTGGACTGGTACAGGCTGATATATGTGTGCGTGAATGTACTCACGTACACATAGCCATTTAAAATCATTTGAAACCAACAAATGATTTTATGTGCACATGTATGCGTCCAACAGTGGACTGGTACAGGCTGATATATGTGTGCGTGAACGTACTCACGTACACATAGGCATTTAAAATAATTTGCAACCAATATATGATTTCATGTGCACATGTATGCGTCCAACAGTGGACTGGGTACAGGCTGATATATGCATGAGTGCGTGTTGATAAGTTGAGCAAGGTTTCGCTATCACTTGAAATGCACGCAGCGCTCCGTCTATCCAAGATAATAATTAAGATAACACATCAAAAAGTAATAAGTAGAAAATATATATATAGCTTTATTACAACGAATTAATAACTCATATGTAACTATATCAAAATTATAAACTGAGTAGAAACAAACTAATAACTTCGACATCCCTTTGTTTGCACATTCAATATTTGATATTACATTCAAAGCTTGAAAATATTCAAAAGCTAATTTCATTCCATTCGCAAGATGGAGTAATAAAGCAAACGAAATAAATTTTTAGATTTCGCTCTAATTAATTTCGAAGTTGGAAAAGAACAAACTATGTAGTATCCGGAACTGCAATTACTGTGAAAGCAAATGCCCCCCGGCGTTCATAAGGTACTATGGTGATTGTGCTTTTGTTACAAAAAAAAAACAATTCTATTTCGCTTGCGCACGTTTGACTGGAAAATTTATGTAATTGGCGGAATAAAGAATCCCAATGAAACACCTTTTTATGTATTACTAGCTATCCGCCCCGTCTTCTCACAGGTGATTTCGGGATCTCCACAACAGCGCCACCTACCGGGTTAAATTGTGAATCTAAACCATCTAGGTACCCGCACAAATACACACAAAAAATTCATCAAAATTGATCCAGCCATTATCGAGTTTTTGCGAGACTGACGGACGCGGACAGCAACATTGAGTTATAATGTACTACGTACTAGAGAAGCTATTCCAAACAAAAAATGTGCGCTACTCTATGTCTTCGCGCATGCGCAGGAGCAGGAGATAGTAGAGCCGCGCATGTGCAGTTGATATATTATTACCTATTTATTCACTTGAACAACAAATAATTTTACTTACTTGATCACGGAGTTGTTATTTACGTCCAGGTTTAAACTTTAGTTTGAAATCTCTTATTGCACCGCTTCACACTGCATGAATATTGAAGCCACACTAAATGACACTAAAGTACTCGTAAGGTGTATGGATTGCAGTACAGTTCAGTTGAACACAGTGAATGTTCGGAATGCGACATCTAGTGCGTAGTACATATATATCGATGGACAGCAATTGATTTTTATATTGAAAGATAACTGCAGTGGATCATGTGCCATGTAGTATGTAAGGGAACCCGTTATCCCATTTTGTACCGTGTATGTCGCGAGTGGCGACTATACGAAATGCAAAATAGATCTAATAGTTTCCTTTTTACGCCAGATGTAGCATACTGAAAGAGTTGTAAAAGGTGCAAGATATCTAACAATCTATTGCCAAACCGTCTGGAGAGGCCCACTTGCAGCAGTGGACTCTGAAGAAGAAGAAGATGTGGCTCCCTGTGGTATTTAGGTGAATTTTGTGCAACTTAATCACATCTAATATCTACTAGTTACATTGTAGGTAAAAAAGGAAAAATTAACTAAATACAACTTTTGCGTTTGTATGTATTGTGATGACCCCAGGTAGGAGTGGCCGCTGATTTATTACATATTTTAACAAAGTGCTTGACTACTCTACCACTTGATATGTTGTATGGGGTAATTAATGGTTATAGCGATGCCATGGAAGAAATCGACCTGGAGAATATTATTGCCATTATTATCTTGTTTTAAAATAATATGGTTATAAGGTTCTTTTAAAATTAAATAATCATTTTTATTGAATGCTGTATGCTGAAGCGATTCTCAGAGTTAGATATATCAATTAACAAAACCCGTTAATATTAAATTTGTCCAAATAAATTATATTAATTTTAATTTATTATTAAAATAAATCAAGAAAATTTAAAATCTATTTTATATATCCATTTTATAAGTTTTGATTGTCTAGTCTATGTTTAATGTTTTATATATAATGTTTTAACAATCATTTTATATTAATATTAATTGCTGTTTATTATACCGTAACCAATTAAAGCATTTTTGAAACTTAAATGTGTAATCGGCCGTTACTTTATGAAATAATTGGGAGTATAAAACAATGTTTTCACGTTAAAATTAAAATTCATTCAAAATTTGATTGAAACAGTGAAGAGTTGAGGTTGAAGTTGATATACATTTGTTATAATATGTTTCAACGTTATAAGCGTAATTAATAATGCGTCCCCAATCAAAGTTCACTCATTACCCAAACAAGTTAAAATATTTTACCTAAAAATCTCTACATAGTATAAAACAAAGTCGCTTCCCGCCGTCTGTACGCTTATATATATTTTACATATTACACAACGGATTTTTATGCGGTTTTCTTCAATAGACAGAATTAAATTAAATTAATTTAAAAAACGATTTATTTCTTTCTCAAGGCATACTAAATAATAAAGTAATTGGAGCCTCCTA